AGAGAGAGAGAGACAGAGAGAGAGGTACATGCCCTAATTGTCTGCCTTGCTGGACCTAGCCAGGCCCTTAACCTCTCTCTCCTCAGGTAGGTCCATGGGTGTGCTGCAAGCAGCAGAAGGGCTAAGAACCCGTGCCCCCAGGCGGACAAAGACCTCCTGAACTGACAGAGTTTGATCACTAGGTCTTATTGGGGACCTGCCCTGTGACCTCTTGGAACCCCAAATCTGGAGGGAGCAATAGGGAAAAAAACCAGAATGTGCCAGCAGAATTGAGCCTGAGGGTACCAGCTTAACAGGACACCTGGGGTGAGTGGTGTGGGACCTCTGCAGCCTAGAATCTAGTAAGGGTCAGAGATGGAGGCCTGATCAATGAGACCCTAAGGATGGAATATCCAAAGTTTCTGCCCAGCCACCAGCCAAGCAGAAACTTTTCCCACGGCAGAATAGGAAGGAAGGGCCTCTCGGGAAAGCAGTGAGAGAGGCAATGGCAGGATTTCAAATGGCACTTCTGGGCAGGGTCTACCAGTCAGAGGCAAGGCAGGAGGGGAGCTCTCTTGGCTGATGGCCGCTCCCCGCCCCACACACACCTCTAACCAGACTGATTTGCATCCAGACTCTGGGAGAACTAAATTCTCAGGCCTGGCCCCAGGTGAAGGCTGCAGCACTCCCTGAGTTTAAGTCTAGATAAGAATTAGTAATCTCCTCCCTTCTCCCTGGGTCTTGCCCTCCTAGCCTCAGACTCCTGTCCCGGCCCCCCTCCAGCTGAAGACTTCGTTGTGGCTTGCAGAGAAAGGAACTCTAGCCCTGGGCCTTCTTTAGGCCCTGGAAGAACTAGAGCAAGAGTTAGGAGCCCCTGCCTCCAGCGACAGGGTTCCCTTACACAGTTAAAAAAGTTCCTCAAACCTGGGGACCCTCACCTGGAACCATGGTCCCTCCCTTTCTGTCATCACCTCCAAGCAGCAAACCCAGTTTGAGAATTCATGAGCAATCTGGAAATCCAGGCTTCTCTTTTCTCTCGGGCACCCTGCACTCCACTGGTGCTGTTCCCTGCTTCCCTCGCCTCTGCTCCCAGAGTTAAGTTAGAACGAACTCAAGTTGAGTTAGAATTAAATTGAGGAGCACACAGAGATAGGGAAAAAAAAGGGTGAGACGACCGATGAGGGAAAGACATTCATGAGATTTCGAGCCTGGAAAAATAAAGGTAAATAAGGGAAGGGCAGAAAGAAGGGGAGTCGGAGACCAGGCGGAAGCCTGCCTAGGGACAGGTAGAAAGTGAAAACACCCGCAGGCTGCTCCGGGAGTGTCGGAGTCAGGCCGCCACAGGCGCTGGTCCCCGGTGATGCGGTGCCAAGCGAGCGGCCTCGATTTCCCCTGACTCGGCTGCTTTGCTCCTGCACTTGCAGGGAGAACAGCGAGAACTCCAACTCCAACAGCCACAATCCACTGGCTTCGTCGCTGAACGGCAGCGGCAAGTCGGTGCTGGGCAGTTCGGAGGATGAAAAGACGCCGTCGGGAACGCCAGACCACTCGTCATCCAGCCCCGCGCTGCTGCTCAGCCCTCCGCCGCCACCCGGCTTGCCGTCCCTGCACAGCCTCGGCCACCCTCCGGGTCCCAGCGCCGTGCCTGTGCCCGTGCCCGTGCCGGGCGCAGGCGGCGCGGATCCACTGCAGCACCACCACAGCCTGCAGGACTCCATCCTCAACCCCATGTCGGCCAACCTCGTGGACCTGGGCTCCTAGAGCCCCGCCCGCCGCAACGCGATTGCCCCCCACCTTGAACTTGGGTCTGGACAGCCGAGAAAGACGGTGACCTTGGGCGCCCAGCACCGGTGGCCCCATCAGGTACTGGAGAACTAGCACGCTGAGCCGGCAAGCCGCTAGCCCGGGCAGGGCGCAAGGCGATCTGGCTTAGTCCTGGTTAACGATGTATTTTCAACGAGCTGGTTTTTGAGATCCTTTGGCGGATAGAGTTCGGACTTGCCATAGGGACGAGAATAAATTATACACCATGGTCATTCCTCTACTTTCTTGTCCTGCCTCTTCTCTCTGCTCCCTGCCTCTGCCCTCCTCGGATGGGCCTTTGACTCCTCTCTTCCCCTCTTCTTGCTTTCTCTCCCCCTCTTCTCTGTTTCACTGCAGAAGCCCGACAGGCCACCTCGCCCTAGGTCTCTTGTGTTTCTTTCTGCACTCTGGATTCGGCTCCCTCTGTCCTCCCCGCGTCTGGCGATCTCTGCTCCCCACCAGCCCCCTCGCTTTCTCGGCTCGGGTGGGAGGGAAGACCGGAAAAGAGACGGACTCTTTGAACCCAAAGTGTGTCCTGCTACCCTCCTTGAAGGCCAGAGAGGCCGCGGGTGTCCGCTTTGCGCCTAGTAACTTAAGTGAAAGAAAAGGCGACATCGCGGAGCCCTGGAGGGGCTCCTCACCCCTTCCTTTTCGACAAGACCCCCCGCCATGCTGCTTCCTCCTCTTCCTCCCGGGACTGTGGCTCCAGCGCGCCCCAGCGCAGCGCCCCAGAACCGCGGACTTGCCGTCTCCCTGTTATGCCCTCATGTGAATGTTTCTGCTTTTATTTTATAATAAAATTAGAAATCATAAATATCTAGATGAATCTACGCCACGAGGACCGCCGGCTGGGAGTACCGAAGTGTCTGATTTCCCTGTGGGGACTTGACACCCTGAGTAGGTAGTCAGTTGTGCTTATAGATATTCTTGTCAGCCCCCCAAGCCGGCGAGACCCTCACAGGCACACAGCCAGGATTCGTCTCAGGGTGAAGGGCAAACTCTGAAACTTTCTCCCCCAAAGCTCGCAGAGGCAGAGGCAGGGGGTGGGGTCTGCACCCCTGGGGGGAGGGGACTCCTTTTCCCACAGGATTCTAGGCGGTTCCCTGGCCCAGCGCTGTCTTCACCTGCCGGGTAGCGGTGTGCTTCGCGCAGGGTCGTTTGTTTGGAGACGTCAAGGTCCGAGAACAAATACAGTCGTAGAAGTTTCTGAGCGCTCTGGCCAAAAGGCGGTGGCCGCAGATCCCGGGGCCGGGCGCGCAATGCCTCGGGCAGGACCTGCGGGCTGCAGGCGAGAGGCGGATGGACGTAAAGCCCTGGGAAATGCTTGGGGCGTGGAGCAAAGATTTCTACGCTCTGAAATCTGCACCCCACGCTTCTGTAGACTAGAGCTAGGGCGGTAGGATGGGGCTCAAAGGACACTCGGGGAGGCTCGGGCTAGTTAGCGGGTGCGTGTTCTGGAGCGGGACCAGAGGGTGCCGCAACTCCGCGGGTTACAAGGATGGGCCAGGGTGGGTGCTTTTCCCTGCGCTGCTGGATGCTTCACAAGCGGTAAATTAACAGGCAGCGCTTCCTCACGTCGCTCCTCCGCGCCCCCCAGGGATCGAGCCCCAGCCCCCGGTTGAAGACAGGTCAAGGCTGGCCCGGGCAGATCCAAAGCGGGATGGGCTCAGCCCGGAAATGGAAGTGTTTGGGTCTCAAGTCGCCCTGGCTGTAGGTACTGAATATGACCCTCCTCCTTGCCACCAGGGTGCCGCCGCAGGCTGGGCCCCCAGTAGCGGATTCACAAAAGGAGTGGCGGGGAGAGACCAAGGCGCAAGGAGACGTCCCGACATTCGGGCTCTGGGACCTCGCGGGCCATTTCCTCTACAGTGACGACAGGGCTCCCCTACTGTCGCCTGGGCCTACGCCCTGTGCAGCCTGTAGGTCACGGGGTCTGCAGCACATCCTCTGCCTGGGCTTTGGCAGCCTTGTCCCTATGGGCCTGATGGTGTTCTCCTGTAGTCAGCATGATCCGACAGGGACAGGTGAGCAGACTAAGCAGGCTCCTGGCTGATTGTCTGAAAGCAAAGCGAGAAACCACTTTGAGTCAGCCGGGTTGAGTGTACAGAACTCAGCACTGCCTGGGGGGCAGTCAGAGTGCACTTGCTGCTTTTTTTTCCGTGGTGGGGAAGGACAACTTGGGTGCCTGCCTCATCGTTCCCTGCTTGCATCCATACCCACGCAGAGGACAACAGGTTCTGAACCAACGTTCACAATGAGAGGAACCAACACGTTGAACATCCATTCCATTCACTTGTTGAGAATCTGTTGGGTGCCAGCCATTGTGGATGGCACAAAAACCCTTACTGTTAGCTTACACAACAGCCACCCACAAATCCACAGTCACATACACCCACAGAAGTAAGCACACACGAACTCTCAACCGGTTTCATAGGACAGTGTACCTGGATATTTATGGGAGATAAGGAGCCCCATTCATGTGCACACACACACACACACACACACACACACACACACACCTTCTTCCCAGTCACACTAAAATGTTCATTGATGCCATTCCCTGCCCACCATCCAGCAGCTTGCTTGGAAGGGGCAACCATCAGGCCCTGGGTCCCAGGAAAAGGGACCCAGCTCAGTTCTCTGACCGCTGTGAACAGTCCAGCGGCTCAGGTGAAATCTCCGGAGTTTATCCAGAGCTTTGACCGGCCAGCAGGGGGCGGGATGCTTTAGTGGGAAAGGGAATGGGGGCAGAGGGTGGGATTCAGGGCTACCTATTGCAGACTTCTTCATTTTTAACCCCTTGGAAAGCTAACCCCGAAAATAATTTCTTTGAAATGGGAAAACTACATAGTCGTTCTGAAAATAAACCTGAGCAGCTGCCTAACCCCACAAGCCAGTCCCATTCCACACAGACCCAGCCAACAGCTGCCGGTAGCAAGGAGAGTGTGCGCCAACTGGACTCGAATGGAAAGTAATGTGCACATAGGTCTTCCCTGGTGGGAATTGAGCTGCTCCCTGTCAAAGTCCGCTGAGTAGGATTCCCAGTGGCTTGTCACCTCCCAGGACAGCCACTGCAGCTAAGAGTTCCTAGGTGACCAAGGGATGGATTGCAATGTGCAGAGCTTCATTTTCTGTTCCCAGGCCAGCATGTGCAGCGAGGTGCTGTTCATTTGTTCCCCGCCAGGACCCGTGTCCATGTGGTGTGTGAGACTGAGCCCGCCCGAAGGCGAAGGGCAGAACCCAGCCCTTGTGACAGTGGGCTTAGGGCAGTAAAAGCAGAGGGCACTGGGGTCACTTTCACTGCCATCCAGTCGATTCTGACTCAGAGTAGCCCTGCCTACGGAACAGAGACAGCAGGCCCTGGAGAAGGACAGCAGGCTTGGGAACATGGAGGGCCAGCCCCAAAAGGGGAAAGGCCCTCCCTGATCAAGACGGATTGACACAGTAGCTGTCACACTGGGCTCCAACATCAGAGCAGTTAGGAGGAGGGCGCAGGACAGGGCAGTGTTCGCTTCTGTTGTACACAAGGTCCCAGTCGCTCAGGACAGTGGTGGAGGAAGAGGTCCCAGGGTGTCCCTGTCTGAATCCCCAACCTTTGCTCTGGTCAGGCTGAAGTCCTGACTGCAGCTGCACCTGCAGCAGCAGCCCCGCCTGGGGAGCAGATGGTGGCAGCAGCTAGCACCAGGGAAGTTTCAGCAGAGCTGCCAAACACAGGGCTAATGCAGTCCTTCGTGACCCCCAGGTCGTGTTGTTGTTGAGTAGGTTCCGGCCCATAGCCACCCTATGCACGATTGAAAGAAGCACTCCCTGTCCTGTGCCACGTGGGACTCTGCGAAGAGCAGGGACCTGCTGGCTGGGGACTCTGGAATCCGGAGTCAAGGAATTCAATCTGCAATCTTACCAGCGGCCACCTCCCACAGGATGCCACCGGGTCCCTGAGGGAAGAGATGGGATTGTGTTTTGTGTAGAAGCGCTGGTGGGAAAGGGTTGGGGAGAGGTCGGGCTTGCAACTGAACTCTCCTTCCTTCTGCGTTCCCCACCATTGGGGGCGGGGCCCTGAACCTCCCCACACCTACGACCACCAAGGCTGACTAGCTGAGGATGGCAAGTCTTGGAAGGAGATATGAGCAGGTGGGGGAAGGAGTGGGGGGAGCACCAAGGGAAATAAGGTGGAGAAAGAAGGAAGAACACACAAAAAACAGGGTGCGCCTTCGGAGCAGCGTGCTCATTCTCTGGTTCATCGGGTTGATGGGGGTCCTCAAGGAGCGAGGGGAGCAGCCCCCAGCTCACTGAAGGCCCATAGGGCCGCGGCTGGAGTAGGACCACTCTGTCGCCCTTGAGACCTCATGGGCACTGGGAGGTCTCGAGTCCTTCAGGGAGATGCTGCAAGGGGGTGGGTGGGTGTCTGGGGAGGCCAGGAGAAGGAAGCCCTCCTGGGCCAGGGCAACAGCAGAGTCCAATTCGCATCTGGTGACGGGATCCAGGGCCCACGCGATCCAGGGCCCACGCGCCGCTCTCTTCTAAACTCCAAGAGCCCCATATGTGTGTGGAGCTCAGAAACTCTTTCTCCTGGATTGCCAGGTGGTGGATTCAAAGTGGGAGGGCCTCTGATGGCGTGGGTTTGTCTGTTCGCTTTTTCATAATCTCAGCCGCATGCGGTGCTTTCTCTGAGCCGCCCCACGCAGGCCCGAAGGTCTTCTGTGGCTGTGCGGGTGGAGAGCCCGCTGGCAAAGCACGAAGAGTGCCCCTAATGGCCCTTTTCTCGAAGGGGCCTGCGAGGCCGGCACCAGGACCGACTTTTGGAGCCCTTGCTCTGAGAAATGGAAAACCACAGCGACCCAGTCAAGCAAGGCCCCAGCAAGTCTCTCCCCGAGGAGCTCGTGCCGCTGGCCGGCTGCGCGCCAAGCCTCGGGGGTCCCTGCCTTGGTTCCCAAGGGCTCCCCCGCCAGCTCTCAGCC